AGCAGCAGCAGCAGCAGCAGCAGCAGCAGCAGCAGCAGCAGCAGCAGCAGCAACAGCAGCAGCAGCAACAACAGCAGCAGGAAGTGAATACGGCTCCATGTCTGGTTCTTTGTTTGGTTAGCAGCAACAAGGGAGGCAGCAGCAGCACCGACAGCAGCAGCACCGACAGCAGCAGCAGCAGCAGCAGCAGCAGCAAAAGCAGCAGCAGCAGCTGCTGCTGCAGCAGCGTAGAAGATGCCACCTCTGCATATTCCCCTCTCTCTATACAAAACCAAGAAGAGGCAGCAGCAGCAAACTCAGGTTTCTGCTGCACTGCAGCAGCAGCAGCAGCAGCACAGCAGCAGCAGCAGCAGCAACAGCAGCTCACCCCCGTAGCAGCTGCAACAGCAACAACAACACCCGAAGCCCCCACTAGCAGCGCCATCTGCCCCTGGTACAGCAGCAGCAGCAGCAGCAGCAGCAGCAACACCAACAGCAGCAACAACAACAACAGCTGCAGCAGCAACAGCAGCAGCAACAGCAGCAGCAGCAGCAGCAGGATCGATGAGGATTTATATCCGCTTGCCTCTTGGGAAAGTTTTGACGGCTTTCGGTTTCAACACTGGCAGCAGCAGCAGCTGCAGCAGCAGCAGCTGCAGCAGCAGCAGCAGCAGCAGCAACAGCAGCAGCAGCAAGCCTCGGGGAGATATGCAGCAGCAGCAGCAGCAACAGCAGCAGCTAGGGGTGCTGCAGCCTTCGCTGCTATTCCCTTGGGCAGCACCTTCATTATTAACTGCAGCATGCGGCAGCAGCCTGAAGCAGCAGCAACAGCAGCAGCAGCAGCAGCAACAGCAACAGCAGCAGCAGCAGCAGATTTATTTTATTGGAATAACAACACAAATACAATACAGGAGAGGGGGGGCCCCCCGCTCGCCAGCGTGCATTTTGCTGCAGCTGCAGGGGGCCCCCACCCCCCCTTCTATATGCTTCGTGCTGCTGTATGTACACCGCAGCAGCAGCAGCAGCAGCAGCAGCAACAGCAGCAGCAGCAGCAGCAGCAGCGGTTCTTGGGGTTGTGTAGCAGTGCAGCAGCAGCTGGAGAAGCAGATACTGCTGCTGCTGCGGGGGAGACGAACACCTCCTTCGCTGCAGCAGAAAGAGCAGCAGCAGCAGCAGAAAGAAGAGATGCAGCAGCAGCAGCAGCAAGAAGAGGTGCAGCAGCAGCAGCAGCAAGAAGAGATGCAGCAGCAGCAAATGAAGGCTTGCTGCTGTCGCAGCCCCACAGCATCATAGAGGAAATAGAAAAGAAACAGCAGCAAGAAGACAAACAGCAGCTGCTGCAGCAACTGCAGCAGCAGCAACTGCAGCAGCAGCAACTGCAGCAGCAGCAACTGCAGCAGCAACAGCAACTGCAGCAGCAGCAACTGCAGCAACAGCAACTGGAGCAGCAGCAACTGGAGGAGCAGCAACTGCAGCAGCAGCAACTGCAGCAGCAGCAAATGCAGCAGCAGCAACTGCAGCAGCAGCAGCAGCAGCAGCAGCAGCAGTGTCTTGCGGCTGCTTGCTGCCTCTCAAGCGAAGAGGCGGAGGGGAGGAGGGTATACACCAGGGCAGCAGAAGCA